GGAATGTGTTCAAATTAGGAACCAGAAAATTCTACACATTTAGTATTAGAATATGCAGCAATACCAGAAATATTCCTAGAGACAGGAAATTGAGGGGAAGAGTAAAAAAGGCCTCTCCAGTATTTAGTACAGACTAAAATGAATAGATACCCCATACCAGGAACATCTTTAGAAATTAAAAAGCCAAACCCCTGTATAACTACTTTTTCCAAGAAGTGGCTTGTTTCTTACAAAAATCTGGAATCTGGAAAAAAAAATAATCACATTTAAGTGGCACCTTAACCATAGAAAGCAGAACTATGGATAAACAGGAAGGAGAATGATGTGCTTACTGTAACTGAAAGATGCTGCAAAACAGGCCTTTTATTATACAGGCTTGTGTTATATGACTTTTTTTTTTTGGTGCTCCTAAGCATGGAGTATACAGCCCAGATGAAATGGGGAATAAGCATTTCATACCACAGAAAACTGAGATGCTACTGCACCTTCCCACACAATGACCCACCCTCCAACTTCAAAAAACATTAACAGCTATTTGTACTGTCCTTTTCCCCCTTAAAATCCTAGCTAACTCTCAAGTAATTGGCTCAGATGGATAATGAATGGAGGGGATAAGGCAATGCAGCCTTATCTGTATGCCCAGAAAAGTCAGGCTTTTTTTTTTTCTTTTTCAGACTAGAGTAATAGATGCCATTACAGTAACAGGTATCCAGCTTCAAGACAGATCATTTTTAAAGCTCTTGTAAGAAACAGCATGTGTTCAAGTGTACAGGCATCTGCAGAAAAGTCTACAAGGCAATGTAGTGAATACAGAAGATAAGAATTAGGTTCTATTTTTAATATTCAGTGACCTTAAAAATATTTCCATTTCAATTTGATTCCAAATAATCCTGTAAAAGAACAGAAAGCATGAACATAAGGCAAAAACAAAAACACAAACAAACAAACAAACAAAAATAGAAAAATAAAGCTGAAAATGGAATGGATATCAGCAAGGTATCAGTGGGCAACAGTAAGATTATTGGGTTTTTAACCTTTCTAGTAAGGTAACTCCCAACTATGGTGTACTCTCACTTCAGTAAACCACTCAGTTTTACTTTTTGTTAAATCAGTGGCTAAAGCTTCTTGCTTTAATAAAACCAGAATTTATAGATTGCAAAAAAGTCTCCTTTTAAATAAAAAAAGACATCACTGGTTATTTCTGAAAAACAAGGACAGATTCAAAGTGACTCTGCAGATTCTTCTTTTTAGCTGTCAAGAAGCTTTAGTGAGAAAGTAGTGATTTGTAAGAGAGGAAGTGATGCAAGACTTGCATGGAAAATGAACTGCAAAAAAACCATGAAGTGAAGCCTCATTTTTCTGAATTCCAAGATAAATACTATCATTGAAATATGCACAGAACAGTGTGCCTCTTTGCAGTGATTTTCATTTCTGAATTTATAAAATCTTAAAAGAATATAAAATGTTCTTTGCCAAGATTTTTTTAAAAATCTTGATTCTAGTATGAATATGCACCAAAATTCAGGATTTGGAAACCTCAGACATTCTGGTAAATTAGCAATCAAATGTGTTCTGCTCAGGAGTGTTATATATAGCATGTTTCTACTGCAGGTCTGCTATTTCACTTCTGACTCCGCAGTTCATTTCTTAATTCTCCCCCTCCCCAAATATTAATATATTTTCTCAATACTTTCCATTTACTGAAATTGACAGATGTACATACTCTTTTGTTAGGCTGTACTGTCCCCAAATCCTTCCACATAGGATCTAAATTAATGCTAAAGTGACTCCTTTCTTACTGCCACAAAGAAAAAGCTCTGGAGTCAACAAGTCCAAATTTTCTATCCAAAAGTCTGAAAAAATGTTCAGAAAAAAGATGAAAACATCAAAAAATCTAACCAGAACATACTCTTGTTCAGTGTTTTAGCTGCAGTATTTATACAGAATACAAAATTGGAACTCTTCTGTTTCCCTCCTGCTTTTACTTACTATTGATAGAAATTAAGTGTCTCTCCTCTACTTTCACTACTTCATTAGTCACTGTCAGAGGTTCATTTCTGTTACTCTGTTACTGTATTTAAGGGTAGCAGTGACAGATTTCTGTAACCCGGCATGGCATTACTGCCAAAATAACAAAGTATTTGCCAGCTGCCTCTAGTTCCTGCAGAGGCAGAAAGCAAATACCACTACACAAAGTGGTAGGGGAGGGAGGGAGGATTTCTAACATTGTCCAGAAAAGGTCAACAGCTTTCACCACTATTTTGCAATATACTGTCCCTTCTGGATTAATGCTTAACTAAAAATACTATTCTTTGGTCACAGCTATAAACTATGGCTGTGAGAACGGTACTTCAACCTTTGCGACCAAGCTCTCAAACCATAAGTTACTTGAGTCGTATACTTAGGTTGAAACTGCACCTATATGCTTGTGCTAGGTCATGATCATCTCCCGTATCTTCTGGATACAAGGATGGGGAAAAACAACCCTAGTCTACAGATGAAAGAAACTAAACAGAAAATAGAATATAGAGAACCAGCATGTTGGGATGAAAATCTCCCATGAAAAAATCAGACCACCCTCTTGGTGTAAGAAGTTTTCACATGTAACATCTCCCAGTTAATTGAATATATGGCTTCAGGAAAGTAATTAATAATGAGAAAATCTTTGAGGCTCAAAATTTCAAAGCCATTTGAAGTCATACTCAATTCTGAGAAGGATCCAAGTAGATACATTTATATGAGACCTGAATTCTTAACGTCTTTGAAACTGGAATAAACAATGAGCAAAAAGATGTATCCAGATGAAAAAAAATTCAAGAAGGGATTGTTAAAAGAATGTGTATCAAATCCAGATAGGTATCAAGCTCTTCATTCAAAAGTTACAAGGCATCCAGATATATACTTGTTCTCTAAACATATATCATATGTTTATGACAGTTCTGGAACTTCTGCCTATATTGCACATAAAAATACTAACTGCCTTTCAAAAAAACCCCAAACTCCTAACACTGGGTTCCAGCTTGACTTCTGGACAGAAAGAGCAAAAACAGTTGTAATTTTTACCTGAATAAAATCTCCAGTTACTAAAATATGCTCTACTTTTAAATATCAAAAAAATATCACCTAATATGGGAAAACAGCACTTCCATTCACCTCTCCTCAACCCCCATGTATTTAAGCAAGAGTGTTCTGGCAAAAAATAAAAGCTAGATCTGCAACAAAACCAGAGAGAGTGAAATCAGTTTCTTAAAACAGTTGTGATGTTAACATTTAGTTCTAACAAACACCCCTCCCCCCCCAAATTTAAATACAAAACAAGGCTTGAAAACAGGGTGTCATTTAGCAAGTTTTTGGGTATTATTAGCTCTCTCTGGTTGCAGTGGCTTCAGCAACCTTAGATGTTTTTCATCTAAGCACTGGTAGCACTTCTGTAATGCTACCAATATTACCATTACAGCAAAAAAAATCCAACCCAAATCACTCAACTTCTGTTGTATTAACTTATATTAAGGATGATCATTAGTGAAAGAAGACAGAAAAGAACAGGAAAAGGAAAGAATGGATATAACCTAGAGACATGTCCTGAGCTGTACAGCAACATACTATGAAAGGATAACAAAAATATGAGCTGGATATTAGATGAAAAGATGGAAAGTAAATCTAATAAAGATGAAAAAAAAGGATGCTTATATAATATTAACAGAGAAAAATATCTTCATGCCATGATAGGAAAAAAAAAATAAAAATAAATTAGATACAAGTTAAAACAGGTTATATAAATAAGAAGGTAGTCTGAAGTGTATTTCTGTGGTTTTTTGCATCTGCTTCCCCTCCTCATCTCCTCAGGCAATTTAACAGCCCATAAACCCATCTGCCCAAGTTTGATGATCATAGAAATATTAAGCTTGTGCCATCATAGTCCAAGGACAGCTTTATGCTGAATGCTTGTCCATTTTACCCAAGCCATAGATTTCTTGCTGCTAGCCAAATACCTGCATTACTGTCCATTCAGAAGCCTGTGCTTACTACATTCCACTACAGCCATGGCTGCCCCTGTGCAAATGAAGACATAGCTGCTTTGAAGCTGGAGGCTTGAGAGCAGAATTTCCATCTTTGGCAAGAGAACCAAGAAACATGGGAGAAACTGCAGATAATGCTTTCAGAACCAGCTAATTATTGTTTTACAATTCCCCAACCCAAACCAGTAGAGACTAAGATTTATTATGCTTTCTTCAGTTTCCTACCTCACCATCATTGCTGTCAGCATGGAAACCAAATATGTTCTATCAACTGTTAATGGGCTTTTGAAAGCTTATGGAGGAACCTGCCTGAAATGACATTGCGCGAGTTTCTGTTGCAGCTGCTGCTTGAAGACCTAAACCCAGTGTCCACCGTGACTGTCAGCCTCCGACAGACTAAACACCCGCCGACGTCCTTTCCTGCCAGACCTTACTAGAGGAAAACACAGCGATATATCATATGAAGGCTTTAACAATGAAACAAGGAAGTGAAACTGGAATGAAGACAAAGGATAAATGTTAGAGTAGCAACAAGAATAAGTGACAAGGACACATCCATAACTGCTGGTATCTTGAATACAATTTGACACCACACCAAGAGTCTTGTAAGTTTGGGAAATACTTCCGAAGCTGGAATTATTAATTCTTTAGTAATAAGTGAGTTTAACTGAATTTAATTTTTTGCTTACCTAACTGGAAATGTTCATAAAATGAGGTTTGGGCTATGTCTCGCAACACCAA